TTTTACAGCCTTTTTGGCGAGGTGGGGGAACTCGGTCTCCACAGACAGCCAAAAGTGTGCAAGTGACACACTTTTTCTGCCAGACGCTGTCTCCTCTCTCACTTTAGGTAACTTCACTAAAAGTCGATCCATGTTGCCGCTCGCATAAAGTTAGCTGAAGTTAAGATAGATTTCACTGTGTCTCTTTTTTTTTTTTTCTCACGCTGCGCCTCCCCTGAAGCTCTCTGGCGCCCCCCCCCCCCGGGAGGCACGCCTCACACTTTGAAAACCGCTGGTCTATATGATAGAGAACTGTAGCGGATACGATCCGTTTCGTCTCCGTGTGGCTAGGGCATTAAACTAGATGTGCATAAAAGCAAACAATCAGACAAGGCACACTGAGCAAACTAATTTGCCTCCATGAATGGCAGCAGATGAGCAGTGACAGTCTAAGAAGTGTCCTTGAGTGACCATGATGCACGACTGACAGCCAACAGTGGCTGTCTGCAGTTTCATGAGAAGAAAAGGAAAACAGAAAGACAGACTGCAACAAAAACAGGAGAATAAAGGTCAGAAGAAAGCAAACATCAAGTAAGCAAGAAAGGCTTGAGATGAAGATACAGTGGAAAGAAAACCAGACATGTGCGGTTCCATTGAGAAGGAAGCAAAAGCTAGATTTCCCCTACTGTTCTTGTTCTTCTGTTTCTTTATAAATGAAACACAATCGTTGACCAGCTCTGCCACACTTAATAAGGAGCTCAGAGAGACGAGGGAGGAGAATATAAGTGGAGGGAGCAGCAGGGTTGCCGCGGCAACTGAAATTAGAACCTGGGATAACAAGATAAATGAAAATGTGTGGGACGACCCAGGTGAGACACACAGCGAGGGGAATAGAGGGGAGAGAGAAAAATACCTTCATTCCTGAGAGCACCGCTTATACAACGTGATAAATACTACCTTAAAAATAGACGGCAGCAGCCTATTCAACGTAATACATGAAGAAATGTGTTCTGAAATGGGACATCGTCTAAATAAAAAAAGAAACACACACACTTACTCGGCAGGATTATTGTAGCAGTGTGTAAAATGCAGCCAAGATTAGATCATTATAGATGCAGTGTTTGAATACATTTTACTTCCACTTCCACTTAATAATCAATTACCAAGTCAATTGTATTTATATAGCCTCCAATGCTTTCTCAACGCCCACACTATAAAGATAAAGGAACGCCTTTCAACCTCAGACCCTCACTGAAAATGAGGAAAAACTCCAATGAAAACTTCATTAAGATAGATGCAAGAAATCTTAAGCACTGCTACTTATCAGTAAAATACAGACAATGATTTTTACAACACTGTGATTAATTTAAAAGCACCCATTTCACAACAGCTGACAGAAATGAAATCAGCTGGGAGCACTTATGAAGCACCTTCCTCAGTGTGCTTGGAGGTTGCCAAGAGAAAGATAATGCCAACTGGAGGCTGGCAGTTTGTAAGGTCTGAGTACTAAGACCTAAAATGTCAATATTGGTCCCACAGGGGGAGGGATAATTAAGGCATAAAGATCTAAAAGGCTTGTCACATATGGCTGGCCAGCTGTCACATCTGTCTTTTCATATTCATGGCGGTAACAACTAGGCCTATACTAAAGCAGCAGCAGAGTACGTAATGGCTGAGCATTAAATGTCAGCTGACTGAGCTACAACTAAAGGCTCGCACAAGAAGGCGCACAGAATGAGGGAGGCTGGCATTTAAAACAATACACAACCTCCACTTCTCATTTTAGATGTTCACTCCCGAGTGGGTTGTCTCAAAAAGATCTATTCCCTGTGGTTCTACTTCACACATCCCTTGTGCTCAGTGTTATGGCAGCACTGCAGAGCCAAAACAGGAACACAGTATTTAAAGCTATAACATTCCCGCATTAAAATGTCTAAAAACAACTAAATCTATGTCATATATTTTGTGGGTTGAAATTCGAAAACCTTAAGAAATCTCTGATTCCAACCGACTTTTTATCCAGTTTTAAGCAACATTCATCCAATCCAATATTTTAACTGGAAAAAAAGGATTAAAGTCATAAGACATACAGTATGTTCCCAAAGTTATAAGAGCAACAAGCAGGGCAAATGTAAGTGGTAGCTGACCTGCATTACAGAAACACAGATTTTTACTTGCGACGGGGTCTGTTCGTTTTCAGACAGAGGAGACCTCTGAGGATGATGCGGCTCCTGAAGAATAAACCTCCTTAATGTCTCTACCTTAACATAACAGATAAACAATCTGAGCACACATTAGTGGTAACTCCACTTTCAGCCCCTCCATGGAAGTTCATTCCGGCTCACGCGGCGGGACCATAGAGAGGCGAAGTCCCGCCCTTCTACTTCCGCCCCATGGGACCTTATTTCGGAAAAATTATGTATTGAAGTCAATGGAGAGAGAAAGATTATCTTGCGATCCCGTTTGAATTGTGCCACGAATTACACATATGTTTGTCAATCTTAAAACTGTTGAAATATAAGACTATGAAAAATACGCAACTCGAAAGACTACAAATCCCAGAGTCGCGTAAGTGATGTCATTAACGTTACACATTACACTCGTGTTACTCACCGAAACCTTGTAAAGCCGGTCCCGCATGCTGGCTCTTACGGAACCGACTAACTCCCCTTTTGTGTATGAACAGCTCTCAACATGCCCAGACTTGTAGTGATTTTCACCTCTTTTAATACTTTTCGCCTCATTCTGAAAGAAAGAGGTGAAATGTGCCAACGTGACGGCCGTCTTGGTGTTGGTGACGTGTGCGAGACGAGAGATGTAATTCATTGAGCGTTTCACACAAAAAAAATTGTTTTACGACACATTTTTTTTGACTTGCAAAATGATCTTTTAAATTGACAAACATCATATGTGTAGTTCGTGGCACAATTCAAACGGGATCGAAAGATAACTTTTCTCTCGCCATTGACTTCAATACATAATTGCCTCTCTATCGAGAGGTGAAGTCCCTCCCCTTCCGGTGGACCTCCATGGGACCTTATTTCGGAAAAATTATGTATTGAAGTCAATGGCGAGAGAAAAGTTATCTTTCGATCCCGTTTGAATTGTGCCACGAATTACACATATGATGTTTGTCAATTTAAAAGATAATTTTGCAAGTTAAAACAAAAATGTTTTGCCGTAAAACTGTGAAGTAAGACTTTTTTTGTGTGAAACCGCTCAATGAACTACATCTCTGGTCTCGCACAACAACACACGTCACCAAGATGGCCGTCACTACTGTCTTAAAGGGCCCATGTCATGGCCATTTCCACTGATCATAATTACATTGTTGAGGTATACTAAAATAGATTTATACTGTGCAATTTTCCAAACTCACATTGGTTTCGCATACAGCATCTCTGTCAAGCATGTGTATTCAGCAGTATTCACTTTCTCCACTAAACGACTCGTTGGAGCTCTTGCCCCCCCCCTCCCTGTGAGCCTAGTGTGCTCCGATTGGTCAGCTCGGCCACTCTGTTCTGATTAGTCAACCACCAGAGAGGCTGCGCACATGTCTAAGAGTGCTTTTCCCGGCTGCTCTCAGCGAAACATCAGTCTTATCATGTCGTCGGTACAGCCGTATATTTTATATACATATATAATTATACAATTATGTATTGAAGTCAATGGCGAGAGAAAAGTTAGAGACTTCGCCTCTCTATTATTATGGTGTGTTTTAGCTGTGATTTAATACAGTTAGGGTTTACAGTAAGTGAATGTGTTGAATTGTCAAGTATACATCTAAATAACTTGTAATAAGAAATACGCATTATTTATTTGTTCACGATGCTCAATGCTCTAAGAAGGAAAATAAAAGAAATTGCATCCGTAGAGACTCGGCTGTGTTGTATTGCCAAGGGCTGCTACATGTTTAATAACTGATTGGAGTTCAGTGCTCAGTGTGTGTGATTGATTAAGTTGAAGTGTTTAATGTATTGTGTTTTTCCACAGAAAAATTGATTTGTTCACTAAGTTCCCCACCATTAATGATGAGGAGGTGGAGGACCTTCGGGGTGAGGGACAATTACTAATTGTAAAATATAACATTTCCCGTGTGAAATGACTGATGTAAATATTGATATGTTATTGTGACATGTTTATCTGCCCAATTTACCCTATGTGCAAGTGCACAGATTATATGTATATTTTTAAGCAGACGTTCATCCAGGGACAATTATTTAAAAAAAACATGTGTATTGTGTAATTATACCTGGTAAAAGTGTTTTGCATTATTCCTTACAGCAATTAATTAATTAATACATTACTTAATTAATACCTGGGCCTAAACAGGCGGCCATATTGATACAATTCAAACCTTTTGCTCACATTTCCAGATCTGGGGTATAAAATTGTGTTTTTTACAAAACTAGTTATTTTTCATTTACATAAAAATACATTTATTTAATTGCATGTTATAGATGTAACCCTTCTCTATGCACACGCTTCTCTAAAACACAGTAATGAGAAGATAATGCAAATTACATATTTTTGATCATCATTGTATATATTTCTAAAACCTAAAGTTGTTTAGTATCATTAATAATGTTCTTCCTGAACAATGCTATTAAGTTGATATTTAAGTGATTAAACGTTTTCTGATGATAAAATTATCACTGAAATTATGTAAATGTATTCTCTCTGTGGTGCCATATGCACTAATCATGTATAATTATTATTACTAATTATGATAGTTTGCATATGATTACTGTGCAACAGTCTGACTCTAACAGCCAGCACTAATTGTTGATATTCCTCAAGATACAGGGAAATGAAATGCCAAGTGTGTGGCAGAGGATTTCTGGAAAAACAGTATCATGCTTTCTATAGCAATTCATTGATGTTTGTTAACATTATTAAAAGAATAAGGTATTATTTACAACAGCACCCTGCCTACACCCCCCTCTCTTAACTTTCTTAATCATAACTACACACATGAACCTGAAAATGAACCGCGAACAGTAAACCAACAACCACATGAAACAAATGAACATAACAACTTTTATTAAAAAATTAACAAGTAACAAACAATATTGAACTATTTAAAAAAAACTATTCCATCTCCTCCGTCTGCGTGGACGTCTGTGTTTGCTCTGCACACATGTAGACAAATAAAAACAATAACACATAAGTAGTGACAATGGCCTTTCTTCTCAAGACTCATTTTATGGTTATGCAATCAAAAACAAGAATGTTTTGACACAATCTTTATTAACCTTCTCTTACAAACTCACTGGGCTCAAATGTTTGACCAAGTTGAAACAGTTTAGTCTATAATGTGAATTCCTTATCCTAATTATTCATTATTTGTCTGTACTTCTCAGTGTCTCCCCTATATACAAATAGTGGCGGCGCTGCTGAAATATGCTCGCCGCTGCTAGGGGGCGCCAGCCAGGTACCCTTTTTCATTTTTGATTGTTATGTGGATTTGTAGTATTTGTGTTACTGTATGTTCAATAAAGGTGTATTTTTGCTAAATCTTAAGACATTGCCACTGTATGTACTAGGCAGGGCCGATTTTTGGCATAGGCGACATTGGCGGTCGCCTAGGGCGCCAGATCTGGGGGGCGCTGCGCTGGTAGCTCTGGGAGGGGAAAAAACATTTTTGACCATTGGCGCTCATCCTAATTTTCGGCCTTGATGTAACAACATTCATAATTAAGTAAATGTAACACCCTTTTCACCCCGGTTACACTTTTCATTTGCCCTGTACGATGGGCGCTGTAAGTGATGAAAGTGGGGGATGTTGGCTTATCAGGCGCCCGCAGCTCATAGCCAAAGTGCGAGCGTGGAAGCAAGAGAGCGAGCGAGGGAGAGAGAGAGAGGGCACACCGGTACCGGCGCTGTTGTTATTAGAATCTTAGCTGCGCTAACGGATATAAGAAGTAGATGTTTTTACAACCAGGATGGAGGAGAGCTCTCCTGTCAGACTGAGAGGCTCAGTGAGGTAAAGGACTCTTCAGTGTTTAGATAGTTAATTTTAGTCTAATGCTGCGTTCACACCGGACGCGATGCGAATATTCGCTTCGCTCTAATCGCTCCTATCGCATCGCTCTAAACGCTCAAGTTTCACCGCGGCTGCCAGCTGTGTTTACTCGCATCATTCAAACAAGACGCGCTGGCTCGGGAGCTACAACTACAACAAAATGAACATATTTTACTGTGATTAAATTGTAATACACGTTTCTAAATGATGCCGAAGTAACAACATACTGATACCGGTTAGTAAAAACCATGAATTAATGCTTGACAAGTCTGCAGACAGACGGCAGGCAAAACACCTTTTAAAATGCTTGTTTTCTGAATGAAGATTGGGTCGACCAGGCTGAGCTAACGTTGTATATGCTCATTCCACACACATAACAACGACCTACAGACATAAATAAACCAGCGACTGTATTTGCCATGGCACAGACAGTCTGTGGTTTGTACTTGTTTAACTTTTGTCCAGTTTCTGAACAGATATGAGGAGCTGTGAGCTCTGTGTGCTAACTGCTAACAGCTAACGGCTGATGTTTTCTGGTTGAACATCAGTGACGGCAGGCTGAGATCCTCACCGCTGATTGGCTTCCGCGAGAACGCGTCACGTGAATTTGACGCTCGAGTTGAAAAAATTGAACTCTCGCGTTTGACGCGGCACCGTTCAATCGCCTCAATCGCGCCGCGTCCACCGCTTCATGCTCGCCGTCGGAGCGAATTCGCGTCTGTCCGCGTCTCTGACGTCCACCCCCCAATTCAAACATGTTCATACAATACTGAATACATTTGAAGCCATTTTGACGTATATTACCGATGTCAATAAGTTTCTGTTTTTGTAGTGTATTTGTCTGTTGTAGAGATTTTTCATTTATATATAAAATCTCGCCTAGGGCAGCAAATTGGCTAGAACTGGCCTTGGTACTAGGCCTCAAGAGCCTTTCTTGTGCTGGCAGACACATAGAAACAAATTGACGGGGCGCACTTCGCACGTGCACACAAAAAAAAAATCCACGCGCTCCGCGCTCACATTATGCTGGGCCCACGTGCCTTAGCACCGCTGCTATGACTCCATCCTAGGGGAAACACTGCTTCTAACATAAGATACCTTCGAGTCATATATTGAGGACTGCTTTAATTAAATAACATGTTCATTTTTGAAAACGAAAAGACGATTGGGATAGTCCAGCCAAAACAACAGTCAATGTAACACTACAATCAGGGTTCCTGCAGGTTTCGCCAACTCAAATTTAAGACTTTTTAAGACCACTTTGAATAGAATTTAAGACCTATTTCACGGCAAGAAAGTATGAAGGAAAATTGCTATGGAAGAAGAAATACGTCCCATAATTACTTACTAAGTAAATTAATGTTCAACATAAGAACAATGACTGAACATAACAGCACAGAACTGTGTTAGACAAAAAGTGTGTGTGTGTGTGTGTGTGTGTGTGTGTGTGTGTGTGTGTGTGAGACAAGAGCTATATTCAGAGCTCTGCTGCCTTGGCTACAATCTTTCATTGTTGCTGTTGTATGATTGGTGTTTAACTACGGTATTTAGGGTTGACGTCGCCCGGAGGTCCCCCGGTGTTGTTGCTGCACTAGCTAACGCTGCACTAACTAATGCTACATTAGCAAAACAAACGCTAATCTTTTTTGCAAAAGGTGCAGCGGGCTTCAAAAGCGTTCCCCTCCACTGGTTTCAACCAAGCACTAAATTTGATGTTTTCCAACCAAATACGGTTGAACTTACACTTCCCCATATTTATTTGTAAGTAGATTGGAAGATACATGAGTTTCTGACTGCCGCTAGCTGAAGCTTGGTTGCTAGGTTACTAGCTGGGTGTTCTCCGATAAGGGGCCGGGGGAAACAAAGTTAGTGATTACTGGTTCGATGTTGATTTATTTCAATACAAATTGTTGGGGGGAACTGAAAGGCTATTACCGTACTGGTTACTTTGCAGCCCGGACATTTCCCCCAAAACACATTTAACGCTATCGCAACACAGAAGTACCTTTCAAATCCGATCATTTTTAAGACCTTCTAAATCATATTTAAGACCTTTCTTATTTTTTTGGTCATATTTAAGACCTTTTTATGGCCTTAAATTCAGATGATCAAATGTAAGACTTTTTAAGACTTGTTAAGACCCCGCGGGAACCCTGTACTATAGTTGAACATAACAATAGAATCACAATCAAACACTTGAGACTTGAACAACAAATACTTACCATCCTGTTCAAAGGACCCCGTGGCCTGCAGCACCTCAATGAGCTGCAGGGCCTCCTCCAGCTTCGTATTGAGGACTTTATTAACCTCCTTTTCTCTGGCGGCCTTCTGTTGGAAAACACGCCGCAGCCTCACCTGTCGCACCAGGAAGTCCAAGCAGCGCCACAAGACCCGGACGCCGTGGGAGTTGAGGTCCCGGCGCGGGAGGGCTTCATCCAGGATTGAATACTGCAAATGAAAAATAACAAATGTACATCTAAATCATAAAACAACATGAACAAGCATTTAGCTTAGTGAATCTTGGGATAATGCACATGCTGCATTTATTGCAGATACGGCACTTCAAACCCAAGTTCTGGAAATGTGAGCAAAAGGTTTGAATTGTATCAATATGGCAGCCTGTCTTGGCCCAGGTATGAATTAAGTAATTTATTAATCAATTCATTGCTGTAAGGAATAATGCAAAACACTTTTACCAGGTACAATTAGGCCTGTCGCGATAATCGATAAATTGACTTATCGTACGATAAATAAAAATGGACTCGATAACTATTCTGAGCTCGATAAATTGCCGTTTACATAAGGATGTGACCAGCATTTTAGCTAGGAGCGCTGTGGCTGCCGGCCAGGCGCGCTGTGAGGGACGGGGCTGACACACAGCCAGGTCAGGACACTCCGCGTGCACGTGCAGCAGCCAAATTAATAATATAGCGACAAGCGGGAGACAACGTGTGACTTACTCGCGGGGAATTTAAAGCGAAATGGAATTGGTTACAAAACCTAACTACACATCTCGATTCTCCGGTGTGGCAGTATTTTGGATTCAAGCCAAATCAACGAGGCGAACCTACGGACTTGAATGAGCCGGGCGGTGTGTCGCATTTGTTTAAAAAAAGGTAGCAACAAAAGCAGGCAATACCACGCATTTTAAACTACACCTAAAACACAACCACCCCATTCCGTTTTCCCAGCTGGTAGCAAACACGGCAGCTGGAGATGGAGAGCCCCCACCTTCCCGACAGTTTACAATCAAAGATGCATTTGCCCGACAATGCAAACATGTTGGTGTTCCTTGCTCGAAAACTTTGAAAAACAGATTTGGATATGGCCTGTTGAGGCATCTGGGTCTTTGTATGGACAGTGGACTGTACACTTGACTGTTGTTTTAAGGAGGGTTTTTTTTGCTTGTGAGACAATGTGTGCTCATATTTATTTTTATATATATATATATATATATATATATATATATATATATATATATATATATATATATATTTATAGATAGATAGATAGAGAGCTCTGTTTTCCAGCCTGAGTCTATTTAATTGATTGTTTTGGTTGTGTGTGATTTAATTAATTTATTATAATTTAATTAATTTGTTTTATTTATTATATATCATTTATATATTTTAATATTATTTCACATTTCATTTGCAATGTTGAATGTTCAATAAAAAGTTATGTTTGAAAGGATGTATGTAACACATGCACCAAATATGAATGCTGAGCACAGAATTATTTATACGAATCAGTTTCGATCAAACCTCTCTAATATAAATGTAGAAATTTCAGTGTGTGGACCAGCACATCAGAAGTCTAGGTTGCTCAGGAGAAAATGGATACTGTGCAACAAAGGTGAAAAGACACAAAGCAGACGTTGTTTGGAAAAGGTACAGAAAGCTATAATATTTATTCCCTTTCTTTCAGATAAACATTTTAAAGACATATATATATTCAGTTACCTTGAATTTGAGAGTATCCTGGTTTTAATTATTTGTACCTATTTATTTTATAACTATTTTGGCATCATTTAGTGTTGTTACTTCTGTTTTAATTATCCCTATTTAATATAAACTAATGGTTTTATTTAAATTTAGTAGCTAAGCTATATATTCTAATTTTGGGAACCAGGACTCTGTATTTGAAATGTTATTTCAGATTCTTAAATAAAATGAAAGAAAACTTATCACATTACTTCTATACACATATAGTTATAACATATTCAACATAGTATCACACAATCAATAATCAAATCAGTTATTGGCTCTCAACTTGTGAAGAGGAAAAGATACACAAGTTCTTGTCCTACTATCGTGGTGGGTAACTGTAATAGTTCTCTTCTTTAGATAGGTCGATGGGTAGCTCGCCAGACTGAAATTCGCCACAGTACACCAGCAGAGATGAGGGCAGCGTTCCAGTCAAAGAATCCAGAAAATCTCCTTCACATCACACAAAAAAAAGACCCGACCTGTAGGGATGGGTACCGAGCCCCGGTATTAAACGGGCCCCGGGGCTGAATTATTAAAGACCGTGGTACCGTTAAGCTCCGACGTTATCTGTCTTTTTATCGGTACTGGAGACATCTAAAAAATATGTCATGTGTATTATTGCTACACAAACATTATATTGCAGTTTTAGTGTCGCCAACTCTGTTTCTAATACGCAAAAAGACTGCAAAATGCGTCATTTTTAGTATTTTCGATCTCTCCAATCCAGACGAGAGATCTCTCTCCCCCGCCTGCTTGCGAGGGGGCGGGGCAGTTTACACACACGCAGCTGCTACATGCAGCAACACACACACACACACACACGGAGGAGATGGCGGAGAGAACGCGATCCGAGGTGTGGTTAAACTTTACCCGTCTCGCTCGTTGCCTAAAGTGCAATAAGAGTTTAGCATGTCAGGGCGGTAACACGAGCAATTTGTCTAAACATCTTGCAAAAGTGCACCACGTTCAGACGGAGAAATGCACCGGGTTCGACTGTCTCTCTAGTAGCTTCTGTAGCCCCATCCACGAGTAACGTTTCCACGTCAGGTGTTATGTATGCTAGCAGCAACACACGAGCTAACTCAATGATTCAAACATGGGTTAATGATTAGAGGGAACTGAGTTATTTAGTTTGTTAAAGTTTCAGCCATTCTGTTCACAGTTCTGTCATCAGATTATTTAATATGATTTGTTAAAACGTTGTTGTTTCTGTTGATGTGAAATATTATGTATTTCATTTAAATAAAAAGCAATGTTAGTTTTGTTCACAATTTGTTAATTTTCATTTAATTGTTTATTTGAATAGGGACAATGCACATTAATGAACACTTTAGACAAATAATGCTTCAAGTAGGGTGACCAGGTGCCAGAAAGCCACAAGTGGGACAGAGAGTATGTTTGTGTGGGACAATGTGGGACATGTAAATGTAATGTTGACGCATGAACTGTCAACGGGCGGGGTACACTGTGGACCTCTGTCGCCTGTCAGCGCAACTTACATAATGCCGTTTAAAACATATCATAATGGGCGGTGCCGGCCGTCAGCGAACCGAGCCGGCCTTTCTCCGCAGAAAAGCGTTTTGGCCAATCAAAATGAAATATGCGGGACATCGTCTCAATTTGCGGGACGCACCAAAAGTCGTGAAAATGCTGTGCAGTCCCGCGCAAAGCGGGACATCTGGTCACCCTAGCTTCAAGTGTAAATATGCCGGATTTTAGCTTTGAGCTAATTTCCATCCGTCGTCCCTGACATACAACATATAGTTAGTTTACCTCATTTTTCTCTCCAAAAGAACCGATAAGAGTACCGTTAAAAGACCGGACCGATAAGCGGTATCGATAAAAGTAGTAGTACCGTTAAAACCTTAACGGTACCCATCCCTACCGACCTGACAACAAGGCCAAGAGTCAAATGAATGCTTATACAATGGTTTAAATGCAAATTGAAACAGCACTTCTCTGTATATTAATCAAATCAACAAAATACACTGCACATGTTCCTAAAATCCTATTAAACAAACAATTCTAAATACAACAATTATCAGTCAGCTTATTTAACACATCTGTCACACATGTTATTATTTTAACAAAGTGTACTAAACTCATTTTCGGCCAACCTATAACCAGCCACAGTTAGCTCAACTTTGCTCATATTCCACAACAATTAACAGACTAAGCTGTGGTCAATGCCCCTTCAATGTGCCACAACTGGCGGCAAAGCAACGTGAAGACCACCGCCAAAACCACAGACAATAGAGCGGTGCAGTGACTTCACATCCCTCTGCCCCGCACACATTAAAGCAACACGGATACACGCTAGGCTAACGCGTTAGCAACAGTTAGCCGCGGCTAATTTAGCATCGATAATTTCATTAAAATACATATTTAACATCCGTATTTTCTCATGCAACTCACCAAGGGTATCATATAAGAGGCAATGCTCTTGGGGGAAAGTAGAAAAGTCGGTCAATCTAAGTGAAAAGTTGTTAAAATAACTACAATTAAAATCTATAGAGCTAATGCTGCTGAGTCATTATCCCAAAAGGATAAACAGCCATCTCACTTCCTGTTAGACAGCAGACACGGGGCGGGTCTAAACTTTGATTGGCTTAGCCTTGCTTTACAACCACTTTAGATGGACAGGGGATTTATCTAATCACACTCATTTAAATGTTTTCATGAAGAATTGTCTAAATCATGTTGTCCTAAATTGCATATTGTGTATCTATATTGTTTCTATTTTAGTTTCAAATAATTTATATTATTTGTGTATGTAGTGCTAAGCATTAAAATAAAGTTGACATTTTAGTCAATGTTATTTCTCAGTGTCTTAGTAACCGGGGGTTACATGTACTTTAATTATTATTATATATTATCATTATGTCAGTGGTCTAAAATGGTCTTACAACAGTGCCGACAATATTATCGTTTATCGCAATAACTTCCAGGAAAATGTATCGTCCAACAAAATTAATTATCGTGACAGGCCTAGGTACAATAACACAGCAATACAGATGTTTTATCTTAAATAATTGTCCCAGGTTGAGGGTCTCTGCTTAAAAATATACATATAGTCTGTCCCACGTGCACATAGGTTAAATTGGGCCTATAAACAATAGTGACATGTCACAATAACATATTACAATATTTACATCAGTCATTTCACATGGAAAGTGTTATACTTACAATAAACAATTGTCCCTCTCGCCGAAGGGCCTTCACCTCCTCATCATCATCATTTAAGGAACCTGCCGCCAGCTCTTCCACCCCGAGCAGCTGATCACTGGTAAGGAGGACGCAGCCAACAACTACGCCCAACCTACGCCAACCTCAACAGGCTGATTGGACAGATCGTCTCCTCCATCACCACCTACAGCATACAGACATAAATAAACCAGCGACTGTATTCGCCATGACACAGACAGTCTGTGGTTTGTACTTGTTTAACTTTTGTCCAGTTTCTGAACAGATATGAGGAGCTGTGAGCTCTGTGTGCTAACTGCTAATAGCTAACGGCTGATGTTTTCTGGTTGAACGTCAGTGACGGCAGGCTGAGATCCTCACCGCTGATTGGCTTCCGCGAGAACGCGTCACGTGAATTTGACGCTCGAGTTGAAAAAATTGAACTCTCGCGTTTGACGCGGGCACCGTTCAAATCGCCTCAATCGCACCGCGTCCACCGCTTCATGCTCGCCGTCGGAGCGAATTCGCGTCTGTCCGCGTCTCTGACGTCCACCCCCCAATTCAAACATGTTCATACAATACTGAATACATTTGAAGCCATTTTGACGTATTTTACCCATGTCAATAAGTTTCTGTTTTTGTAGTGTATTTGTCCGTTGTAGAGATTTTTCATTTATATATAAAATCTCGCCTAGGGCAGCAAATTGGCTAGAACTGGCCTTGGTACTAGGCCTCAAGAGCCTTTCTTGTGCTGGCAGACACATAGAAACAAATTGACGGGGCGCACTTCGCACGTGCACACAAAAAAAAATCCACGCGCTCCGCGCTCACATTATGCTGGGCCCACGTGCCTTAGCACCGCTGCTATGACTCCATCCTAGGGGAAACACTGCTTCTAACATAAGATACCTTCGAGTCATATATTGAGGACTGCTTTAATTAAATAACATGTTCATTTTTGAAAACGAAAAGACAATTGGGATAGTCCAGCCAAAACAACAGTCAATGTAACACTACAATCAGGGTTCCTGCAGGTTTCGCCAACTCAAATTTAAGACTTTTTAAGACCACTTTGAATAGAATTTAAGACCTATTTCACGGCAAGAAAGTATGAAGGAAAATTGCTATGGAAGAAGAAATACGTCCCATAATTACTTACTAAGTAAATTAATGTTCAACATAAGAACAATGACTGAACATAACAGCACAGAACTGTGTTAGACAACAAGTGTGTGTGTGTGTGTGTGTGTGTGTGTGTGTGTGTGTGTGTGTGTGTGTGTGTGTGTGTGTGTGTGACAAGAGCTATATTCAGAGCTCTGCTGCCTTGGCTACAATCTTTCATTGTTGCTGTTGTATGATTGGTGTTTAACTACGGTATTTAGGGTTGACGTCGCCCGGAGGTCCCCCGGTGTTGTTGCTGCACTAGCTAACGCTGCACTAACTAACGTACATTAGCAAAACAAACGCTAATCTTTTTTGCAAAAGGTGCAGCGGGCTTCAAAAGCGTTCCCCTCCACTGGTTTCAACCAAGCACTAAATTCGATGTTTTCCAACCAAATACGGTTGAACTTACACTTCCCCATATTTATTTGTAAGTAGATTGGAAGATACATGAGTTTCTGACTGCCGCTAGCTGAAGCTTGGTTGCTAGGTTACTAGCTGGGTGTTCTCCGATAAGGGGCCGGGGGAAACAAAGTTAGTGATCACTGGTTCGATGTTGATTTATTTCAATACAAATTGTTGGGTGGAACTGAAAGGCTATTACCGTACTGGTTACTTTGCAGCCCGGACATTTCCCCCAAAACACATTTAACGCTATCGCAACACAGAAGTACCTTTCAAATCCGATCATTTTTAATTAAGACCTTTCTTATTTTTTTGGTCATATTTAAGACCTTTTTATGGCCTTAAATTCAGATGATCAAATGTAAGACTTTTTAAGACTTGTTAAGACCCCGCGGGAACCCTGTACATAGTTGAACATAACAATAGAATCACAATCAAACACTTGAGACTTGAACAACAAATACTTACCATCCTGTTCAAAGGACCCCGTGGCCTGCAGCACCTCAATGAGCTGCAGGGCCTCCTCCAGCTTCGTATTGAGGACTTTATTAACCTCCTTTTCTCTGGCGGCCTTCTGTTGGAAAACACGCCGCAGCCTCACCTGTCGCACCAGGAAGTCCAAGCAGCGCCACAAGACCCGGACGCCGTGGGAGTTGAGGTCCCGGCGCGGGAGGGCTTCATCCAGGATTGAATACTGCAAATGAAAAATAACAAATGTACATCTAAATCATAAAACAACATGAACAAGCATTTAGCTTAGTGAATCTTGGGATAATGCACATGCTGCATTTATTGCAGATACGGCACTTCAAACCCAAGTTCTGGAAATGTGAGCAAAAGGTTTGAATTGTATCAATATGGCAGCCTGTCTTGGCCCAGGTATGAATTAAGTAATTTATTAATCAATTCATTGCTGTAAGGAATAATGCAAAACACTTTTACCAGGTACAATTAGGCCTGTCGCGATAATCGATAAATTGACTTATCGTACGATAAATAAAAATGGACTCGATAACTATTCTGAGCTCGATAAATTGCCGTTTACATAAGGATGTGACCAGCATTTTAGCTAGGAGCGCTGTGGCTGCCGACCAGGCGCGCTGTGAGGGACGGGGCTGACACACAGCCAGGTCAGGACACTCCGCGTGCGCGTGCACGTGCAGCAGCCAAATTAATAATATAGCGACAAGCGGGAGACAACGTGTGACTTACTCGCGGGGAATTTAAAGCGAAATGGAATTGGTTACAAAACCTAACTACACATCTCGATTCTCCGGTGTGGCAGTATTTTGGATTCAAGCCAAATCAACGAGGCGAACCTACGGACTTGAATGAGCCGGGCGGTGTGTCGCATTTGTTTAAAAAAAAGGTAGCAACAAAAGCAGGCAATACCACGCATTTTAAACTACACCTAAAACACAACCACCCCATTCCGTTTTCCCAGCTGGTAGCAAACACGGCAGCTGGAGATGGAGAGCCCCCACCTTCCCGACAGTTTACAATCAAAGATGCATTTGCCCGACAATGCAAACATGTTGGTGTTCCTTGCTCGAAAACTTTGAAAAACAGATTTGGATATGGCCTGTTGAGGCATCTGGGTCTTTGTATGGACAGTGGACTGTACACTTGACTGTTGTTTTAAGGAGGGTTTTTTTTGCTTGTGAGACAATGTGTGCTCATATTTATTTATTTATTATTTATATATATATATATATATATATATATATATATATATATATATATATATATATATATATATATATATATAGATAGATAGAGAGCTCTGTTTTCCAGCCTGAGTCTATTTAATTGATTGTTTTGGTTGTGTGTGATTTAATTAATTTATTATAATTTAATTAATTTGTTTTATTTATTATATATCATTTATATATTTTAATATTATTTCACATTTCATTTGCAATGTTGAATGTTCAATAAAAAGTTATGTTTGAAAGGATGTATGTAACACATGCACCAAATATGAATGCTGAGCACAGAATTATTTATACGAATCAGTTTCGATCAACTCTCTAATATAAATGTAGAAATTTCAGTGTGGACCAGCACATCAGAAGTCTAGGTTGCTCAGGAGAAAATGGATACTGTGCAACAAAGGTGAAAAGACACAAAGCAGACGTTGTTTGGAAAAGGTACAGAAAGCTATAATATTTATTCCCTTTCTTTCAGATAAACATTTTAAAGACATATATATATTCAGTTACCTTGAATTTGAGAGTATCCTGGTTTTAATTATTTGTACCTATTTATTTTATAACTATTTTGGCATCATTTAGTGTTGTTACTTCTGTTTTAATTATCCCTATTTAATATAAACTAATGGTTTTATTTAAATGTAGTAGCTAAGCTATATATTCTAATTTTGGGAACCAGGACTCTGTATTTGAAATGTTATTTCAGATTCTTAAATAAAATGAAAGAAAACTTATCACATTACTTCTATACACATATAGTTATAACATATTCAACATAGTATCACACAATCAATAATCAAATCAGTTATTGGCTCTCAACTTGTGAAGAGGAAAAGATACACAAGTTCTTGTCCTACTATCGTGGTGGGTAACTGTAATAGTTCTCTTCTTTTAGATAGGTCGATGGGTAGCTCGCCAGACTGAAATTCGCCACAGTACACCAGCAGAGATGAGGGCAGCGTTCCAGTCAAAGAATCCAGAAAATCTCCTTCACATCACACAAAAAAAAAGACCCGACCTGTAGGGATGGGTACCGAGCCCCGGTATTAAACGGGCCCCGGGGCTGAATTATTAAAGACCGTGGTACCGTTAAGCTCCGACGTTATCTGTCTTTTTATCGGTACTGGAGACATCTAAAAAATATGTCATGTGTATTATTGCTACACAAACATTATATTGCAGTTTTAGTGTCGCCAACTCTGTTCTAATACGCAAAAAGACTGCAAAATGCGTCATTTTTAGTATTTTCGATCTCTCCAATCCAGACGAGAGATCTCTCTCCCCCGCCTGCTTGCGAGGGGGCGGGGCAGTTTACACACACGCAGCTGCTACATGCAGCAACACACACACACACACACACGGAGGAGATGGGCGGGGAGAACGCGATCCGAGGTGTGGTTAAACTTTACCCGTCTCGCTCGTTGCCTAAAGTGCAATAAGAGTTTAGCATGTCAGGGCGGTAACACGAGCAATTTGTCTAAACATCTTGCAAAAGTGCACCACGTTCAGACGGAGAAATGCACCGGGTTCGACTGTCTCTCTAGTAGCTCTGTAGCCCCATCCACGAGTAACGTTTCCACGTCAGGTGTTATGTATGCTAGCAGCAACACACGGAGCTAACTCAATGATTCAAACATGGGTTTATGATTAGAGGGAACTGAGTTATTTAGTTTGTTAAAGTTTCAGCCATTCTGTTCACAGTTCTGTCATCAGATTATTTAATATGATTTGTTAAAACGTTGTTGTTTCTGTTGATGTGAAATATTATGTATTTCATTTAAATAAAAAGCAATGTTAGTTTTGTTCACAATTTGTTAATTTTCATTTAATTGTTTATTTGAATAGGGACAATGCACATTAATGAACACTTTAGACAAATAATGCTTCAAGTAGGGTGACCAGGTGCCAGAAAGCCACAAGTGGGACAGAGAGTATGTTTGTGTGGGACAATGTGGGACATGTAAATGTAATGTTGACGCATGAACTGTCAACGGGGGGGGGGTACACTGTGGACCTCTGTCGCCTGTCAGCGCAACTTACATAATGCCGTTTAAAACATATCATAATGGGCGGTGCCGGCCGTCAGCGAACCGAGCCGGCCTTTCTCCGCAGAAAAAGCGTTTTGGCCAATCAAAATGAAATATGCGGGACATCGTCTCAATTTGCGGGACGCACCAAAAGTCGTGAAAATGCTGTGCAGTCCCGCGCAAAGCGGGACATCTGGTCACCCTAGCTTCAAGTGTAAATATGCCGGATTTTAGCTTTGAGCTAATTTCCATCCGTCGTCCCTGACATACAACATATAGTTAGTTTACCTCATTTTTCTCTCCAAAAGAACCGATAAGAGTACCGTTAAAAGACCGGACCGATAAGCGGTATCGATAAAAGTAGTAGTACCGTTAAAACCTTAACGATACCCATCCCTACCGACCTGACAACAAGGCCAAGAGTCAAATGAATGCTTATACAATGGTTTAAATGCAAATTGAAACAGCACTTCTCTGTATATTAATCAAATCAACAAAATACACTGCACATGTTCCTAAAATCCTATTAAACAAACAATTCTAAATACAACAATTATCAGTCAGCTTATTTAACACATCTGTCACACATGTTATTATTTTTAACAAAGTGTACTAACTCATTTTCGGCCAACCTATAACCAGCCACAGTTAGCTCAACTTGCTCATATCCACAACAATTAACAGACTAGCTGTGGTCAATGCCCCTTCAATGTGCCACAACTGGCGGCAAAGCAACGTGAAGACCACCGCCAAAACCACAGACAATAGAGCGGTGCAGTGACTTCACATCCCTCCGCCCCGCACACATAAAGCAACACGGATACACGCTAGGCTAACGCGTTAGCAACAGTTAGCCGCGGCTAATTTAGCATCGATAATTTCATTAAAATACATATTTAACATCCGTATTTTCTCATGCAACTCACCAAGGGTATCATATAAGAGGCAATGCTCTTGGGGGAAAGTAGAAAAGTCGGTCAATCTAAATGAAAAGTTGTTAAAATAACTACAATTAAAATCTATAGAGCTAATGCTGCTGAGTCATTATCCCAAAAGGATAAACAGCCATCTCACTTCCTGTTAGACAGCAGACACGGGGCGGGTCTAAACTTTGATTGGCTTAGCCTTGCTTTACAACCACTTTAGATGGACAGGGGATTTATCTAATCACACTCATTTAAATGTTTTCATGAAGAATTGTCTAAATCATGTTGTCCTAAATTGCATATTGTGTATCTATATTGTTTCTATTGTAGTTTCAAATAATTTATATTATTTGTGTATGTAGTGCTAAGCATTAAAATAAAGTTGACATTTTAGTCAATGTTATTTCTCAGTGTCTTAGTAACCGGGGGTTACATGTACTTTAAATTATTATTATATATTATTCATTATGTCAGTGGTCTAAAATGGTCTTACAACAGTGCCGACAATATTATCGTTTATCGCAATAACTTCCAGGAAAATGTATCGTCCAACAAAATTAATTATCGTGACAGGCCTAGGTACAATAACACAGCAATACAGATGTTTTATCTTAAATAATTGTCCCAGGTTGAGGGTCTCTGCTTAAAAATATACATATAGTCTGTCCCACGTGCACATAGGTTAAATTGGGCCTATAAACAATAGTGACATGTCACAATAACATATTACAATATTTACATCAGTCATTTCACATGGAAAGTGTTATACTTACAATAAACAATTGTCCCTCTCGCCGAAGGGCCTTCACCTCCTCATCATCATCATTTAAGGAACCTGCCGCCAGCTCTTCCACCCCGAGCAGCTGATCACTGGTAAGGAGGACGCAGCCAACAACTACGCCCAACCTACGCCAACCTCAACAGGCTGATTGGACAGATCGTCTCCTCCATCACCACCTACAGCATACAGACATAAATAAACCAGCGACTGTATTCGCCATGACACAGACAGTCTGTGGTTTGTACTTGTTTAACTTTTGTCCAGTTTCTGAACAGATATGAGGAGCTGTGAGCTCTGTGTGCTAACTGCTAATAGCTAACGGCTGATGTTTTCTGGTTGAACGTCAGTGACGGCAGGCTGAGATCCTCACCGCTGATTGGCTTCCGCGAGAACGCGTCACGTGAATTTGACGCTCGAGTTGAAAAAATTGAACTCTCGCGTTTGACGCGGCACCGTTCAATCGCCTCAATCGCACCGCGTCCACCGCTTCATGCTCGCCGTCGGAGCGAATTCGCGTCTGTCCGCGTCTCTGACGTCCACCCCCCAATTCAAACATGTTCATACAATACTGAATACATTTGAAGCCATTTTGACGTATTTTACCCATGTCAATAAGTTTCTGTTTTTGTAGTGTATTTGTCCGTTGTAGAGATTTTTCATTTATATATAAAATCTCGCCTAGGGCAGCAAATTGGCTAGAACTGGCCTTGGTACTAGGCCTCAAGAGCCTTTCTTGTGCTGGCAGACACATAGAAACAAATTGACGGGGCGCACTTCGCACGTGCACACAAAAAAAATCCACGCGCTCCGCGCTCACATTATGCTGGGCCCACGTGCCTTAGCACCGCTGCTATGACTCCATCCTAGGGGAAAACACTGCTTCTAACATAAGATACCTTCGAGTCATATATTGAGGACTGCTTTAATTAAATAACATGTTCATTTTTGAAAAACGAAAAGACAATTGGGATAGTCCAGCCAAAACAACAGTCAATGTAACACTACAATCAGGGTTCCTGCAGGTTTCGCCAACTCAAATTTAAGACTTTTTAAGACCACTTTGAATAGAATTTAAGACCTATTTCACGGCAAGAAAGTATGAAGGAAAATTGCTATGGAAGAAGAAATACGTCCCATAATTACTTACTAAGTAAATTAATGTTCAACATAAGAACAATGACTGAACATAACAGCACAGAACTGTGTTAGACAACAAGTGTGTGTGTGTGTGTGTGTGTGTGTGTGTGTGTGTGTGTGTGTGTGTGTGTGTGTGTGATGACAAGAGCTATATTCAGAGCTCTGCTGCCTTGGCTACAATCTTTCATTGTTGCTGTTGTATGATTGGTGTTTAACTACGGTATTTAGGGTTGACGTCGCCCGGAGGTCCCCCGGTGTTGTTGCTGCACTAGCTAACGCTGCACTAACTAACTGCTACATTAGCAAACAAAACGCTAATCCTTTTTTGCAAAGGTGCAGCGGGCTTCAAAAGCGTTCCCCTCCACTGGTTCAACCAAGCACTTAAATTCGATGTTTTCCAACCAAATACGGTTGAACTTACACTTCCCCATATTTATTTGTAAGTAGATTGGAAGATACATGAGTTTCTGACTGCCGCTAGCTGAAGCTTGTGTTGCTAGGTTACTAGCGGGTGTTCTCCGATAAGGGGCGGGGGAAACAAAGTTAGTGATTCACTGGTTCGATGTTGATTTATTTCAATACAAATTGTTGGGTGGAACTGAAAGGCTATTACCGTACTGGTTACTTTGCAGCCCGGACATTTCCCAAAACACATTTAAACGCTATCGCAAACACAGAAGTACCTTTTCAAATCCGATCATTTTTAAGACCTTCTCAATCATAACTTTTTATTTTTTGGTCATATTTAAGACCTTTTATTGGCCTTAAATTCAGATGATCAAATGTAAGACTTTTAAGACTGTTAAGACCCCGCGGGGAACCCTGTACAATAGTTGAACATTAACAATAGAATCACAATCCAACACTTGAGACTTGAACAACAAATACTTACCATCCTGTTCAAAGGACCCCGTGGCCTGCAGCACCTCAATGAGCTGCAGGGCCTCCTCCAGCTTCGTATTGAGGACTTTATTAACCTCCTTTTCTCTGGCGGCCTTCTGTTGGAAACACGCCGCAGCCTCACCTGTCGCACCAGGAAGTCCAAGCAGCGCCACAAGACTCACGGACGCCGTGGGAGTTGAGGTCCGGCGCGGGAGGGCTTCAGCCAGGATTGAATACTGCAAATGGAAAATAACAAATGTACATCTAAATCATAAAACAACATGAACAAGCATTTAGCTTAGTGAATCTTGGGATAATGCACATGCTGCATTTATTGCAGATACGGCACTTCAAACCCAAGTTCTGGAAATGTGAGCAAAAGGTTTGAATTGTATCAATATGGCAGCCTGTCTTGCCCAGGTATGAATTAAGTAATTTATTAATCAATTCATTGCTGTAAGGAATAATGCAAAACACTTTTACCAGGTACAATTAGGCCTGTCGCGATAATCGATAAATTGACTTATCGTACGATAAATAAAAATGGACTCGATAACTATTCTGAGCTCGATAAATTGCCGTTTACATAAGGATGTGACCAGCATTTAGCTAGGAGCGCTGTGGCTGCCGACCAGGCGCGCTGTGAGGGACGGGGCTGACACACAGCCAGGTCAGGACACTCCGCGTGCGCGTGCACGTGCAGCAGCCAAATTAATAATATAGCGACAAGCGGGAGACAACGTGTGACTTACTCGCGGGGGAATTTAAAGCGAAATGGAATTGGTTACAAAACCCTAACTACACATCTCGATTCTCCGGTGGCAGTATTTTTGGATTCAAGCCAAATCAACGAGGCGAACCTACGGACTTGAATGAGCCGGGCGGTGTGTCGCATTTGTTTAAAAAAAGGTAGCAACAAAAGCAGGCAATACCACGCATTTTAAAACTAGCACCTAAAACACAACCACCCCATTCCGTTTTCCCCAGCTGGTAGCAAACACGGCAGCTGGAGATGGGAGCCCCCACCTTCCCGACAGTTTACAATCAAAGATGCATTTGCCCGACAATGCAAACATGTTGGTGTTCCTTGCTCGAAAACTTGAAAAACAGATTTGGATATGGCCTGTTGAGGCATCTGGGTCTTTGTATGGACAGTGGACTGTACACTTGACTGTTGTTTTAAGGAGGTTTTTTTTGCTTGTGAGACAATGTGTGCTCATATTTATATTTATTTATTTATTTATTTATTTATTTATTTATTTATATATATATATATATATAGATAGATAGAGAGCTCTGTTTTCCAGCCTGAGTCTATTTAATTGATTGTTTTGGTTGTGTGTGATTTAATTAATTTATTATAATTTAATTAATTTGTTATTTTATATATCATTTATATTTTTAATATTATTTCACATTTCATTTGCAATGTTGAATGTTCAATAAAAAGTTATGTTTGAAAGGATGTATGTAACACCATGCACCAAATATGAATGCTGAGAACGAATTATTTATACGAATCAGTTTCGATCAACTCCTCTAATATAAATGTAGAAATTTCAGTGTGGACCAGCACATCAGAAGTCTAGGTTGCTCAGGAGAAAATGGATACTGTGCAACAAAGGTGAAAAGACACAAAGCAGACGTTGTTTGGAAAGGTACAGAAAGCTATAATATTTATTCCCTTTCTTTCAGATAAACATTGTTAAAGACATATATATATTCAGTTACCTTGAATTTGAGAGTATCCTGGTTTTAATTATTTGTACCTATTTATTTTATAACTATTTTGGCATTCATTTAGTGTTGTTACTTCTGTTTTAATGATACCCTATTTAATAAACTAATGGTTTTATTTAAATGTAGTAGCTAAGCTATATATTCTAATTTTGGGAACCAGGACTCTGTATTTGAAATGTTATTTCAGATTCTTAAATAAAATGAAAGAAAACTTATCACATTACTTCTATACACATAGTTATAACATATTCAACATAGTATCACAATCAATAATCAAATCAGTTCTTGGCTCTCAACTTGTGAAGAGGAAAAGATACAAGTTCTTGTCCTACTATCGTGGTGGGTAACTGTAATAGTTCTCTTCTTTTAGATGGTCGATGGGTAGCTCGCCAGACTGAAATTCGCCACAGTACACCAGCAGAGCGGAGGGCAGCGTTCCAGTCAAAGAATCCAGAAAATCTCCTTCACATCACACAAAAAAAGACCCGACCTGTAGGGAGGGTACCGAGCCCCTGTATTAAACGGGCCCCGTGCTGAATTATAAGACCGTGGTACCGTTAAGCTCGACGTTATCGGTCTTTTTATCGGTACTGGAGACATCTAAAAAATATGTCATGTGTATTATTGCTACACAAACATTATATTGCAGTTTTAGTGTCGCCAACTCCGTTTCTAATACGCAAAAAAGACTGCAAAATGCGTTTTAGTATTTTCGATCTCTCCAATCCAGACGAGAGATCTCTCCCCCGCCTGCTTGCGAGGGGGCGGGGCAGTTTACACACACGCAGCTGCTACATGCAGCAACACACACACACACACACACGGAGGAGATGGCGGAGAGAACGCGCTCCGAGGTGTGGTTAAACTTTACCCGTCTCGCTCGTTGCCTAAAGTGCAATAAGAGTTTAGCATGTCAGGGCGGTAACACGAGCAATTTGTCTAAACATCTTGCAAAAGTGCACCACGTTCAGGGAGAAATGCACGGGTTCGACTGTGTCTCTAGTAGCTCTGTAGCCCCATCCACGAGTAACGTTTCCACGTCAGGTGTTATGTATGCTAGCAGCAACACACGGAGCTAACTCAATGATTCAAACATGGGTTTATGATTAGAGGGAACTGAGTTATTTAGTTTGTTAAAGTTTCAGCCATTCTGTTCACAGTTCTGTCATCAGATTATTTAATATGATTTGTTAAAACGTTGTTGTTTCTGTTGATGTGAAATATTATGCATTTCATTTAAATAAAAAGCAATGTTAGTTTTGTTCACAATTTGTTAATTTTCATTTAATTGTTATTTGAATAGGGACAATGCACATTAATGAACACTTTAGACAAATAATGCTTCAAGTAGGGTGACCAGGTGACAGAAAGCCACAAGTGGGACAGAGAGTATTTGTGTGGGACAATGTGGGACATGTAAATGTAATGTGACGCATGAACTGTCAACGGGGGGGGGTACACTGTGG